ACCACGAACCATCCCTCTCATCGGCGGCTGCCCTTTTTTGTCTCTGTGTTTGTCAAACTAACACACCGCTCTCCCTCCTTTGAAAGAGTTTCGTTTGCTCTGTTCATGTTCATATTTCTTTCTGTCTCCTCTCTCGCTCCCGCCCCGCTTTTAACTCCCCTTTTTTTCTAGTCTAGTTTTTCCGTCAGACTCAATTTTATGCGTTCCCTCATTTTGGTCTTGGCCAAATTTGTGAGTAGTGAGTAGTCCCTAACTGGTTTAGTCGTTAGACAGGGTGTTTTTACACCTTTGGGAACCACATGTTGCAATCTTACGTAGGCCTAGATCTATTTAATTTTATGTATATGGCTCTTTTCGTCTAAGCAGACGGTCAATTTAGCTTAAGATGGTCTCACGGTTGTCTTCCTGCAGCTTCTTTCATGGCTAATTCTTCCTATGTTTGAAGCGCAGATTCTGTTAATTTTATGTGACGCTCGGTTAATTGTATTCTCAAACCCAAAGTTGTAGATATATGGCTCTATGATTTTGTTTACATCCGGTAGAGCTTTCTTTTACGTTTGGTATTTTGAATTTCTAGACGCCATTTGTTGAGACGCCACTAGCAAAAGGAAATGTCGTGGAATTTCGACAATGAAACCATGCTTTAGATCTGCCTGTTGATCATGGTGATGGAAATTACGGTAAATTTATAGAAACCCTCCCGTCTCATAAAGGGTATTATTTTGTAGCTTTTTCTAGGTTTTTTTTAGGGCCCTGAACACGATTTTAGCATTGAAAAACGTCGCAAATTGTTAGTTTAGATTTTACGGCACTTTATTTCAGGGGGGAGACCCTCCCTGAACCCCCCTACCCGACCCACTACACTGCTATAACGTACTCGCACGTCAGGGGGAGAACCCCTGAAACCCCCTTAATGTCTATAAAAGCGTGCATTATCCACACACAAAAATCCTAAAACTAAACCTTAACTTTAAAAAACTGACCTTATCCGTATATCCCACGGCACTAAAGTGGTGAAGGAGCTGACTTCCGGTAGTGGATGTGACGCAAAACGGGAGTGCTTCTATAAAAATACCGAAGTTACATTTAGAGTTGCCAACGAACAAAATACCATGTAGATTCTACAATATTCTGATCTTGGATTCAAAATATCTTGAAAGATCTGAAGAGTTTGTGAAAAAATACTTGTATAAATAGATATTTTTTTCATCCAAATAAAGACAAGTGAACAAGCTTTAAGATGATACCAATAATTCTACATGCCCAAAAATTGACGAGAGCCTGATTCCACCACGCTGCCTCACATTTTGTCAAACCCTGTCTAACCACCCCGCCCCCTCCCCTACCCCGCCCCTCTTCTTACCCCTCAGAGACAGTGACGTGAGCCGGACCAAAGACGAACATGGAAATTCCACAGAACGGCAACATGCCCGAGAAGTCCCCTCCGCTGGACACAGCCGGGGTTGAGATGACCATATCTAATGGGAAAAAGGTGATCTATCAAGGCACACGTCATGTGCCAAATCCTTCCTCTGAACATTTTATTTTTGTGTCGTCTGTGGTGTGATTTGTTGAGAAAGTGTATTGACTTGTAACAGAACGAATGTCGACTTTTTTAAAATCATATTACAAATGATGTTAAAAACAATCAGGAAACGACAAATGCAGTTTTTGGGACACCTGAATAGACATAAGGGTCTTGAACATCTAGCTCTCACTGGCAAAATTGAGGGCAAGCGAGGCAGGGGTAGGCCCAGAACAACATACTTAGGGAACCTAAACAAATGGGTAACAGGGAAAGATCAGGGAAACATAGCTTTTCTGAGAGCATCCGAGCAAAGGAATGAATGGAAAATCATGTCGCAGATCTGGCACTGGATGATGATGATGATTATAAATGAACGAGTGTCAAGTCCATTTTATATGTGAGGAATAGACTGTGAGAGTGGGTGGTTCGCAGGTGCTCTGGTGTGGCTTGCTCCTTCTTTCCTATCAAACATCTGTCGTCCTTATCTCCCCTCCTCCTTTGTGTACGTCCCTCTCTTGTGACACATAATCTATTCTTCGGCACGTATATTACCTTATTTATGTTGCAAGTGCCGTAAAATTCTCACTAAAACTAAAGACTGTGAGAAATGTTGTCATCCCTATTCGGACCCCCATATCCCCTGTCAAGCGTTTTTTTTTTCCAAGGCAGAGATACCTCTAAGTCAGCTTTAGCTTTAGTAGAGGGTTTTACGACGCTCGCAGCTGCATAAGGTCATATGAGCGCCATACCTCTAAGTAAATCATAATGATTAGTATTGTCGTTCTCCGTAAAGCACCAGTTCCATTAATTGTTTTTACATATCCCCATAACGAAACAGTAATAGATTTGTGGTTGGAGGACGCGGCTGGTAAGTCTTACGTATTATGTGAGACAGCGCGGTGGAATCAGGCTCTCCTCAAAATAATCAAAGTGAAGAAACTTGCATGTTTCCGCTGGTTTGTGAATTTTGATCAAATTGAATTATTTTGACTCAACCCCTTTCATGCCCATTAAAGAACTCATTTCTGTGTAGATTTTCTGAAAAACGTTGATTAATGGCACCAAAAAAAATAAAGTTACCACGGACTCTTAAGCAAAGGAAATAACTAATCTTTGGCGGACATTTTCTCACTAATTTTACCTCTGAAAACAGGTGACCCTCACCTCCTTCTTTTGCAAATATCTCGACTTGTGTTCAAGATAAATGGATATATTTTTCATCCAGATAAAGACAAGTAAACAAGTTTTAAGATGATACCAAAAACTCTACATGCCCCGAAATTGACGAGAGCCTGATTCCACCACGCTGCCTCACATATTTCTACTGTCTGTCATTATTCCATTTTTCATTCCACTAAACTGCCGTTCTTATGTCCGTGTCAGCTGATTCCCTTCACTCGAACTCAAACCCAAACCATGACAGTAGGTGGTTGGCGGGTGCTCTGGTGTGGCTTGCTCCTTCTTTCCTATCAAACATCTATCGTCCTTATCTCCCCTTTTTCTTTTTTATGTTTGTTACTCTCTTGTAACACCTTTAATCTTCTGGTGCTCATATGACTGTATACAGTTGTGAGCGCCGTAAAACCTCTACTAAAACTACAAACCTTGACAGATACCGATATACAGTGCTGACGATGAGCCGGAGCCCAAGATGAACAAACGGCAGATCCTGAAGAACGTGTTCGTGGTCAGCCTGGGATTTACATTTCTCTTCACGGCCTTTCAGGCTATGTCCAACTTACAGACAAGTCTCAACAGGGAAGAAGGTGAGTCACTACCC